CTAGCAGGCACAGAAGTACATAGAAATCAAGCCAGGTAGGAGTGGAGAAACATGGTTACACGGGAAAGCAAAATCAGTACCAGCTGATGTAATGGGCACATCATTTTTTTTCCCTATTCTCGTCTATATCTGAGCTATAAGGTCCAGTTTCCTTCAAGTGTTGGGTTTGCATCTGCTGCTCATTTAACATTCATTCTGAAGTCTACTAATGGACCCTTATACAAAGAATATGCTAAACCATTCAAGTTGACATGTATAGGGAAGAGCAAAATTCAGTGTGGTTTGTGTTTGATTTGCTCTCTTTCCATTTTCACTTGTACAAGTGCTGTATACACAGCTAAGGGTTGAAAAAATGTCCTCTGAAACAGGTCTCCAGTGCCCTACTGCACAGAGAGACTTCCAGGAGCATTGATCTAGACCAAATAAACAGGTACTTCAGGGGGAGTTTGTGGGGTAGGCGACCAATGCAGTTGATAGATTCTGCATGAATTTTGAGACACGATGGATTTCAGCTATGACAGTTTGCAGGTAGAAGTATAAGCTTGAGCATAGGCTTTGGAGACTAATTCTCAAGGATACTGAAAATTTGGCAAATCTATTAACCTTTAAAATGTGCAAATTGCCCTAAAGACCCCTTGGTTTCTGCTCTGGTAGCCCTGAGAAAACTTGATGAAGGGGCTGAGGTTATCAGAAAAAGCATAATTTAAAACCAAAGCAAATTGATGTTAAGAATTGTTCAAAAAAGCAACAACTATATTTCACAACTATCTGCTAGAAGAATGGCTAGTATATAACTTGACAGTATTTTATTATTTTCTTCTAAATAATATAAGGTCTGATTCCATTAATCAGCTGTCACAGCAAAGTTCTGAGGAAACCTCTGGTCTTGTTGCACGCTTTCACAATTATTTCAACACATGAAGGACACGGTCTTGTATGCAAGTCTGAAGCATTTATTTAAGTTTAGGTGAGACGAAGGGAAATACATTACTGAACAGGCAGGTGTTTGGGTTTTCCATTCATATGCACTTAAAATATACTTTAAAACAGACATTAACATTTTTCTTCCCAGTGAGAATGACTTTGGATCAAAAAATAAAAAATAATCAACTTTAATCAAGAGAAAAATTAAAAAATAGAATTTTAAGGCTCAAAGTGAACATCTTTGTATTGGAAATAATAAAGCAATTAGCAATGGATCACATCTCCAATATTTAACAGTTAAAATGTTTCATTAGGTCTTGCTAATCATTTTGTATAAAGACATTTTCCAGAAACTAACACTTTTAAACCTGGCAACATTAAGAACACAGTTCTGAAAGGAATTCTTATTCCAGATTTGTTGCTTTGAAGTACCTATGATTACTGTAAACAGTTGAGTTGGCAATTGCTTACATACTAAGGTAAAGACTGCAGACTTTGCTTTTCCTATTTGAAATATGAGCAGATGTGAGGCATTCAGGAAGTGTGCTCCACCTTCCATATGGAAGCAAAGGAACTCAACTCAGCTGTTTTAGGCAAGAAGTTCAACAATATCAATGCAAACTGCTATGTGATGCTGCTGAGGACTGGGTTTGCACCAAGCTGGACCAAAATTTTAAAGTGAAGATAATACTTTTGCTTTCTAGAATTGCAATACAAAAATTGTCTTTTCTCCTTTTTGAAATATATTGTGCGTCTGTTTGATTGTATACAAGCCAGGACTAGAAGGAAACAGGAAACTAAATAAACCTACAAGATTCTGAATCAGAAAACACTGATAGGTTACAAACCTGAGCATTTCTGTATCTCACTGATACAATGTTATGCTCCACATTGTGGTGATTTAATGGACTTTTGGAAGATACTAGCTAACACTGACTACAGTGGAAGTTCTAGCATTGATTTTTGTCTTGCAGTAGCCTGCCCTGAATAAAAGAATGAAATACCATGTTAGTGTGAAGTCAAATTGGTTATTCAATTAAACAAAAACAATGAAGAGCCAAGCTGTTCAGGAAGGGAGCGCAGTTGCATAGTCTCTAGTGCATCTTGACATGCTGTGATTAGATAGTGACATCCTTCATAGAACATGAGCTCAAACAGCATCACATGTTTTGTGACATCTCAGTGTTGTCTCTGATGCTTACACAAGCCTTTTTCCCTTGGCTTTTCCATTGGTTAACGACACAAACATAATTTTTGTGTCTTTTTCTAGCAAGTCTTCTTTGTGATGAGCACATTAATACTGCTAATTAACAGCATTTACATCCATTCAGATAAGCTTCCTTTACATACTCATTTTACGGGCTCAGCGTGTGCAGAGGAGAAATGCCCTGTAGCAGTTAACGATCAAAATTTAATGACTACAGGCCATTTGGGATCAGATTCTGATTTTGTTTGTGTCAGATGCACTGAAAGGAAATGAAATTACTAACTTCTGCATTATGCAGGGAGTTGTGATGAGTAAAGTTTTGATGCTTTTGCTAGTAAATACTGTCAAGGAGAAAATGATACAGTCCAGCTGACAGATTTTGGTGATCCACTCTCTGTAGTCTACCTCTCAGTCAGACTTCTGGGGCCCCTTCTTGAATGACTAAGGATTAATCCTTCTTACTTAGATTTTTGCAAAAAGTCTTTCAGCAGTAGCTTCTTATCCTCCCACTTCCAAAGAACTGAATGTACATTTTAAAAAACATTGTACCACTTAATCTCCAGCTTGTCAGTTCAGGTTATAATGAAGTAAGTTTGGAAACATTCCACTGAGATTGTGGAGAAAACGTTGAAGAGAGATGTTTTATGTATTTCCTCTGTGCACTTTGTCTTTTAATTTGTACTGAGTTTTTGGGGGTGGTGTCTGGTGTAAAATGTGAGAACCACTACTACTGTCAGTAATATTAACAAGTATGATTCCAGCACTGGTAACAGATATTTGCTAATAGTAAGTACCAGTGTTCCTTTCTTCTAAACTACGTAAAGAACTCTGATTAAGGAGATCACTCTTGTAGCTAGAATTGCCTAATAGGATATATTCCAGTCAAAAAGGAAAAGTTTGTGCTTGCTTGAATTCTTAGTTTCCACTCAGTCAATAGGTAACTTAATCCACATAGGATATTCAGACAGGCAGTGGAAAGTAAAATGATATAGGAAGTATAGAGTGATTTAGGTCTGAAGGAACCTCAGGAGGTCATCTGGTCCAACCCCTCACTCAAAGCCAGGCAAGGGGGCCACAGGGGAGTTCTAAGGAGACAATTGCTTGACAAAGTCTGTGCTAGGTATAAAGCCTGATGGCCGATAAACAACTTGGAATACTTTGGATGAAAATCTGCTCTTCAGTTCTGGCATGAAATAACGGGAAGACTAGGGCCGTAGATGGGAGTAGAATTTATGTGTCTTAATTTCCTATCTTACCGCTTGCCAACAGCACTGGATTAAATAAGCAGAATCCAATAACTTTAAATTTTCGGTTGCCCAACTCTGACTCAGTCTAGGTTTAGTTTTGGAATCCCTGAGCCACGTATAACCAAGTGAAGGTAAGAGGACCAGTAGGTTTCTATCCTGGAAAATCAGACCCACGATGTGCCTTAAGTTGGGCACCCCATAACTGAAGTCAGCGCATCACTTTTAATAACTATTAGTTCTGTTTTGTTTGCCAGGGAGGAGGTACAACATGGGCAACAACTGGTATTTCTGCTTTCCTGATAAAATAACCTGCACCTTGTTTTGTCTGTCAGTCTAAGAATGTATTTTGGCTTCCTGGTCTCTTCAGTCTGGGGTGAATCGCCTGAGATTTCTAACAAAAGCATGAACGTTATAATTATGGTTTTGTTTTATGGTCTTCACTCAGGTGGGAAGTGAACAGTACAAGAAATTCACTTCCTCTAAACCCTTAGGGAACCAACAGTTAGAGGCAACGTAAGCTGGATTTGTAGGAAACCCAATGAAAGGCTATCTCTTTCTCAGTCTCTGGCTGTATCCAGTGTCCTTTTGCTATTAAGATAACTCCTCATTGTTTTCTTTGCATTTGTAATTTTTCTAAGTTACATTTTTAAGTTTGAAAAATCTGAAAGAGGTCTAAAATGAAAGTATCTGTTAATTTTTCTTTTAATCTCTGTGACTTTGATCAGGACTTTGTTTCATTCTCCAGCCATGTTGAAAGCAGTAAGAAAGAACCACTTGAAAACAATGTCCAAAGAAGAGGGGTAGCAGTAATTTAAAGATGCAGAAAATCATCTTAGATATTCACAGATTCTAAGTGCTGGGAGGTATCAATACAACCATATAGATGCTAAATATATTTAAATCAATCATTAAGTGTTGTCACTTAACACCTTCTGTTGCACTTTTATTAAATTGCCTTATTTATTACTACTATTAGTTACAGTAGGTTTTTTAGCTCTTTGCATGTAACTGTTGCTTAACTTGCTAACTTCTGGATATTAACAGAATTTTCTCTGTCTTTATAGTAAACACCACACTTGTGATTATTTCCTAAATGATGGTAAAAATTTAAATTCCACCAGCTCATAATTCCTTTTGAGTTAGTTAAAAAATGAGCTAGATGGTAGATGCACTTTTCTTTTAGTCATGTTAAAAATGAGGAAAAAGACTGATACTTAAAAACTGTGAAGTTACAAGCTTGATATCATCTGTGTTTAAAGGCAGAGAATCACTAATGTTGTAAAGAAAAAAGTATGAAGCACATCTGGAAAACAGTTTCAGCTATGGGCTCTAGAGAACATGCTTCAGACAACAGGAATTTTTGTTTTCCCATGTTAGTGTCCTATGCACGTGCCCTGTACCTTACTTTATGAATCCTTACACCATAAGTACACAGTCCGTGGAGTCCACACACGCACACAAATATAAATATATAGGGTATACAGCCCTACCTACATGAAACACTATGTTTTTCTAGTCTTGAGTTCAAAAATTCTAAGGTTATCTGACATAATAATATATAAAAATGAGTTACATCTTTTCCCTTTAACTTGTACTTTGTGATTATCTGGCATGTTTTTTAGAATTACATTCAAAGTCTTGTTGTTTACCCTCATTCAGGATTGTTGTTGTTCTAATGTCAGTGTTTTCACTGGCAGTATTTCAGCTAAACATCGTCAGTCATTAACATGGCTTGCTACAGTACAGTAGCTTTAATTCAAGCAGTAAAAGTGGTATTGGCTTTTAGGTGCTGAAAACTATGTTCACTATGTAATTCTTAGCAAACTACACAGTACTGAATTTATTGCACAACACTCCATACCACAATTATCCTGCAGTAAAATAATATGCAAAAGTCTCATATGATATGTTACTTGCAACATTTGCAGCAGCAGTACACTTAATTACAAACAAGTTGCTTGTAAACCTTGAGCATCTTGACTTGTACCTCTCTTTTTTTTTTTTTTTTTTCCCCACAGTTCTAGAATCTCTGCAGGTGTAACTGGAACAATTGTTTGTTTTTCAAAGCTCTTCACTCTCCACCACCTTTTGGGTTGGGGATGAAAACAGCATAGGGCTTTCAGTAGTTGGGAAGGCAGAAAAAATGTCAGGTCCTTGACTGGTAAGGTTTGCATGCCAGCTGCCACCAGGTCGAATCTTTATTGGTTGTGGAATTTGACGGTGCCACTGAGCTGAAGCAACAGAAACAGAATAGGCTGTATAAACCTCTAATTAAGTTAGCAGTGAAACAACAGAAATCAATGCACACAAGTGAAAAGTTGCTTCCAACGTCCTTGAAGAGAGCACGGCATTGTTGTTCCCTGTTTTAGGGTCTGTTTCTTCAAATATTATCATCTACGTGGTTTATATGTTGAGTATTTTTACTGAAGCCTACAGGTGGAATTCCATCCCTGTTCAGTTCAGTGGCAACATTTACATGGATTTCACTAAGTCCAATATTTAATCATTTTACCTTTGGAGCCTTCTCCAAAACCATTGCAATCAAAACTAAAAACATACCATAGCATGAACAGAGATGAACAAAGTGGACATGGCTCTGATTTCGTACTACTCCATCCTCTGGGGAACTTTTCTTCCTGATTTTTTTTTTTGGTAGTATTTAATTTCAAAATAATAATGCAGGGAATTTTTTTACAGAAGTGATTACAATATTTGCCTCTACTACTTACAACTAGCAACACGTTTCCAAGATTGTAATGTAAAGAAATACAATCCAAAGACACATATTCAGTAATTTAAAAGTAACATTCAACATTTTCCCATATGAACAAATACCATTACAATTTTGTAAGAATATTTAGCTATTATACAATACTTAACAGTTATCATTCTTAAAACACTTCAGAAAGGGGAAACCTCCAGGTCTGCACACAAACTGGACAAACGTATCTGTCAGCAATTAAAATGAAAGGGTAGAAGTTCAGGCTACAAAACTCAGAGAATAGCTTAGTGTGGGAGACATACTATCTGTATGTTAATCATTGATAGGAAATGGCTTTCCATGGTGAACTTTGACCCTGACTATCTGGAAATATTTGGAAAAAAAGCCTCCTTTTTTTCTTGCAGCCCCAAGTTTGTTTCTGTTTGAACAATACACTCATTAATTACTGTACTTTTTTCTTTGCACATAGAATTGCAAATATCAGACCCCATCCATTCAAAATAGCACAAAGAAATTATTTCTGCCACTCCCTTTAGTGTGTAAGACCTGCAGAGTCTTTAGAAAATGCTTTCCATCTTTTTCCTGTTTGTACCTTGAATCTTTCATATGAAAATTTAATTTATGTCTTGCAACATTTAGATACCTAAGGAATTTTCATTTTATGTGACCTTTTTTGAATTAGCCTCTCACCACCCCTCTTGAACATTATGTTACTATTGTCTGTATCACCACAAGGTGGCAGAAAACTGACAGGGATGCGCTGGTGACTTGTGGTTATCCCTGATAATGAAGTGAAATTTTTTTTTTTTTAGATGAGAAATGCAAGGTTGAAGACATGTTTTATTTTCCTTTGAGGGCATGGCTATAATCCAACAGTTTGTGGAATATGTTTTCTGTTTTATTATGCTGCCAAAGTGATCAAAGTGGTGTTTTAATTTAGATAAATTGTTTTAACTATTACATCTTGCATAGAAACAGAGCAATTAAATGATGTGCTGTAGTTCTTGAACTGGGCTGAGGCCTTCTGAGTCCTAGACAAACATATTAGGTGCAAACTAGCCTCCATTAATTAGGCATAGTTTGCATCATACATGGGCCATAGAAGAAGGGGTCTACTTTCTTGTGTGCAATTTATTGCTCCATCTCAGGTCAGGGCTGTAGCACAGGCATGTATCAGAGGGAACAGAGTTAAGGCTCAGCTTCAATACAGGTTTGTTATATGCTTATGTGTCTACGGAATTTGGAAGGTGGAAAATGGGAGTAGAGAATGTTGTGCAAAAGTCCTCCTCTGTTTTTTCTCTTTACCTGCCTTTAAACTGATGCAGGAGAGCTAATTTGACCATTTAGCTGTATCATTATACTTCCTCCTGGTAGCCATATTAAGCTGTGGCCATGCTGTGACACTGATTTCTAATCCATGTCAAAACCAGCAATTTATGGGCTAAGAACTAGGTGAGGGCTGGGACCAGTCAAAGATAATAAATTCTGATTTGTTTTACTTACTAGCCAGTACCTACCATATATGTCAAGTCTAGCAGTACAAGAGACAATACCAGCTTCATTTTTTGCAGACAAGGTGTACCAGCCAGCATCTGCTTTCTTGGCAGGTTGAATGAGGAGGCAGACATATCCTGTTGTATCTTGATGCATGCTGGGAAAACAAGTGATTTGGTGTTAGTATTTCTCAAGAACATATTAACTTTGAGATTTTTTGCATTAAATATGAAATAGATAAGTTTTAACTTCTATTCCTAAAGAGGTAGCGGTCCAATACATTTATAATCAGTAGATTTTCTTTCAGTATGGCCTCAGCCAATGATCGGAGTAGCTGAAATCTGTTCTCACTCCTCTCAGTTGAGCAAAGCCATGGTGTGACAGCATGAGCTGAATTGTTGCTCTGTATGTGTTAATATTGAATTCCAATGAACTAAACCCATGCAAAGCTGCTGCACTGTCATACTGTATTTTTTCCTAGTTCAGAAGCTGGAAGAGTGACATAACAAAATACCGATAACCTTTGTACAAAGTTGTGATGTTTTTCACAACAGGAGCCATAGCTAGTCTGAAACTTTCTTATGGCACCCTTTTCCATGAGAAAATGACTGAGTGGCAAAATCTTAAAGATTGTTTGGCCAACACTCTAAAAAAAACCTGCTTGATTATTTCCTCCTCTTCCTTTGTTCTTCGGTGATCCAAGACTTTCTGGCTGCAACTTGGTAGTATATCAGAGACCTGAGGTTCCTCTGCTCTCTAGGCTGTGGTTGGTTCTTTTTATCAACCCAAGTGTTTCCCTCATTATAAAAGAAGATGAGCACATCAGAATACTTGAAGTTGCAGGAAGTTCTGAAATTTGAGATTTTGTTTCCTTGTGAACTGGAATGAAACATCAAACCACAGAATTTCAGGTCAAGAGGACATTTTGTGCTTCCAACAGCTCTGTTAAAAATGGGAACATTGCCTTTTGCTCCCTGCACTACATGATTTGCCTTATGCTGGGGGTGCAGTAGTATAGAAGCTCACGCATGTCGGTATCATGATACAAAAAAGGTCTCTTGGCTTCGAGCAGGAAGATAATAGTGAGGCAAGATAGGGACAAAGGGACAATTCTGCCCATTTCTGGCATGGATCTGTGCAGAACCACTTGAAGCCTTGGGGGCAGGCAGTCTGGTCATGACTGGCTGAAATACCAGAGGTGTTACAAGCCTGATGTTAGCTTATGGCATTGTAAGGTGTGGGAGGTTTCCCTTAGTCATTCCTCTGCTGAGCTGAACCAAAAACTTGCTTTGTAAGCTTCTGTGAAACAACCGGAAATGAGGTATTTTAGGACAGTTCATTTTACATTAACTACAGTGTTTGCATGTATATAACCATAATTTCTCTGACAGTACCAGTCCTTGAAATAAATCCTTGAGTAATCTGCCTAGAGGCAGAGGAATAGACTACAGGTGATAGAAGATGTCAGGTGGGCTTTTTGGAGTGGGGCAGCAGTCTCTGAGTGGGAGCAGGGAGACCACTGAAAGATATTTTTTCAAGTAAGCTTTCCCTCATGATAGGTGTGCATTCACAACAAGCGCTCCTGCGGGGCTAGTTTCCTTTACAGACAGCCTGAATAGTATGCATGTGAAAATATAGTGCCTCTTGAAGTTGATCTCAGAGATCCAATGACGGCATCAAATCATTAGTTGGTGCCAAGTGAAATAAAATATTAAAAATCAGATTTATGCTGGAGTAGAAATCTTTAAAAAATAAATGAAAGCAATTAATTTCTCATTAATTACAGCCAGGCACAATATTCCATCAGCTTTTCTTTTGCAAGACCTAAAAAATAGTGATGCATTTGAATGCAAGAGCTGAACTCGAACATTGTTGTATTTTGTAAGCATGGATCAAAGTCTTTGCTTATGTTTGTGACCAAACTTTGTTATCAGCCTCTGTATCTGATATACTAAACTCTCTATTATCCCATGCTCTGGGGCATTCAAAACCATGTTCTAACTGTTCTGAGTTTGAATTCATCCATATTTAGAACTAAACTGGGGAAAAAATAGTTTAGAGAAAGAATAAGGTGCTAAAATGCATTGAAATACCATATCATAGTGTCTTTGATAAGAAGATGCATATGCTTTATCAGATTTATGGCCTGAAAGGTCTATCACTGTTCTCTGAAGCAATGGCATATTATGCTCCATGCCTTTATTCTAAACGAAGGAAATCGCTATTGTTCACCTCACAGTGAAGGCAGCCTTTTAAAACTTTATGTGGGTGAAAGTAGTTATTTTAAGAACACCACCACCTGTACATATCACACAGGTTTTCATGGAAACAATTGGTCCAGCCACAAGAAACTCCAAGCATGGGTACAATGGTACAGTACCTCATCCTCTCTCTGTTCGATGGGATGGTCTCATTATCCTTCTTCCAGTAAAATATGGGGGGTGGCATTCCCACAACTCTGCACTCTAATCTGACAGGGTACCCTTCAGGAACACCACAGTTCTGAAGCTTCTCCAAAAACATGGGGGCTTTTTTCACTTCCTTTGCTGGAAAAAGAAGAATAATTATTGAACAACAGATATTTTATTCTTTGTTTCGCTTTGAACAGTATGGAAGAACATGACCAAAAACTATTCTTGTGATATCAAAATAGGTTATGAGTTTTTAATGAGATATTGCAAGGAAAGTGAAATGACATGACATAGCCTCTGTAAGGGAGCATAAAGAAAATAATAGGCAGAACTAATGTTCATAAAACAATGTCTGCGTATCTAATGGCTCTAAACATACTACCATTGCAGGGAATTAATGCCAGCTCTATGAATTTCAATATCTCAAATCTTGTAAGGCTTTATTAAAGAACAGTGTTTGGATTTGTATTTTTCTATTAAAAAATATTTTTAAATTAATAAAATTGAGACTGAAATCTAGGAGACATCAACATAATATAACGAATTCACACCCTAAGCATTTTCTGGCGAGAAAATTAGGAATGTCATTTTTCCGAGACATGAGAGGTAAAGTGATGATGAGACAGAATTCTTACAGCACTCTCTTAATAACAGGAGTGCACCTGTTGACTGAGCACCAGCTCCGTTTCCCTCCGTCAGATGAGTTTTATAACTGTTGAACTCTCCTGCTATCAGTGGATTAACTATTTATTTATACTTGTCTGCAGGGAAACTACGTAAGGTAAGTTTGAAGAAGCACGTACAAATAACTTCATCATTGTGACTAGTTTTTCAATGATTCTTACCTACAACAGTGAGCTCCAGACTAAATGAATTTTGTCCTGTTTTATTAGTGGCAAGGCAAGTATAAGTTCCAGCATCATTTTGTGAGAGAGGATCAATAAGCAGAGAGTGAACTCCAGTCTCTCTGACCAGCATCTTGTGGGTGCCGTCTGGTAGCACAGGTTTGCCGTTCAGAAGCCACGTCAGGTCTGGAGTTGGTAACCCACTCACCTAACAGACAGTGAGACAGCTAGAGACAAATGTCAAACTGACAAATAGATTTTAGGAAATTCATAGGTAAGCCTTTTTTCAGATACTATCTGAATGATGTCAGAGTCTAGAACAGAAAGATTTTTTATTATTATTTCTCAGCTTCTGTTTTTCTGCTGATTAGTTCCAGAAGGGAGAAAACCAGAAAACAAACAAGCAACAAAATTCCAAGAGAAACGAATACGTGAAATACCTACATTTTTCTTAGTCACAAAGGAAGAAACTTGGTTATAGATCAGATTCACAAAAGACTCCTAGTAACCTGCTAGTTTTCTTTTTTTCAATGCTGAGTGTAGATTGAAACACTGGATCTAAAACCACTGCAGAATTGAATAGAGATGAAAAACAGTTCTATACAAGTGACTTTGTATTTCATAAAATTTGCTGAAGAATGATATAGTTCTTTTAGCTGTTAAACTTACATGCTTTAGAACGCTATAGATTAAGTATTTTTTTAGAAAGATTATTAGTATTATAGTCTTAAAGAACTTTCCAATAGGTAGAAGTACTTATCGTGTCTAAAATATGGCTTTCCAAACAGTATTCTGCAAACCAGAGAAAAAGGGAAGTGGAACTTGCCTGAACGAGGACTGCTATCTTCCACGTTTGTGCAATACCAAACATGCTTTAAGACTTCACGAGCTCTGCCAGGATAGCAGAGCTAAGAATAACCAAATTCTTTGGCGTCTCCCTTGTAAACTCTACGTCGTAAATTAAGTAGTAATGAACCTTGTTCATCTTCAGGGCACTCACTTCTGCTTCAGAGCTTCTACCCTCTTCAGGGTAGGAGACATTCTGGAGCATGGAAGAGGTCAGTGTCAGAACTACCACATTTGCTGTGCTGGTGGGACATAGACTACCAAAATACATTGGAGCAGACAAGTTGCTTAAAGCTGTTCAGTAACAGGATGTTCACTGCAGGTACTCTAACCCTGATGACTCTTTCGTGTGGGGATTTGAATCTGTAAATTGAGATGTTTCTGCATCTATGTGTGCTGGGGAAGCATAAAATTAACTGGGCTCTGTTCCCTCTTTTCAGGGAGTATTAACCTCCAGTAATTCAGTCCAATACAATGGGAACATTTGTTTGAACAGAATACAACATGCTGAATCCTCTCTTTCTCATGGTTTTGTGCTATTCTGGATTGTGTTCAAGAATCTGATAATGGAGCAGAAGGATCTGTCATTCCCAGCTGAACTTCCGGACTTCAGACTGGTAAGGGACATGGTGAATATATCTAGTAATTTGAACAACCTTGTAAGTGAGCCTTCTATTTCTGGGGTTGTGTTTTCTGTGTTCTTCGTTTCACATAGCATGTGTTGAAAAGAAATCCCCTGAATCAGGTCAGAGACAATGTCAATAAAAATAAAATTTAAAAAGGAAGCATTAAAACTTCAACAGAACCTGTTCATGCATGCAATAAAGAACATGAAAACACCTATAAATACATGTACAGAGGTAGTTAGGGAAAGTGAGAATGAACAGAGAAAATAGTTAATACCTTACAATCCAACCTACAAAGTCGCCCTTCGTGTGCTACCATGTCACCTGGAGCCTGAAGAAAGTATGGCCTGAAAAAGCGTTCTTGAACTGCCTCTTTGTCTCCTTCTGGCACCCGAGGTCGTGTTCTGTAACACAGAAATTGCAGGTATATGTTTGGAAGTCCAACTTTTTTTTCACTAGTGCTTAAAAAAAGGAAGAAATTGTGGAAGAGGATGAACAGTTACCCTGAGTTAAATAAATGGGCAGAAAGAAATGGACTGGTTGTAATTTAATACTTTCCATTTAGAAAGATTATCAAATTAACTATGTTGTGTAGTGTTGTTGGATTCCCAAGCTATCCTTTGCTTCTTTGGCTGAATTTCATCTTGCTAATCCATCCCTTGCCTTTAACTCCAATGCAACAGGTAAATGAAATAATACTTTACACTTAATTTGAAGATGATCTTAAAAAAATATTACATTCTAGAAGGGACCTGTTGTGAGTGCACTGCTGCTGTTATTTCCATTTTATGGTTGGGAACTGAAATACAGAGTGCATTGAAATACAGTAGTATTTTGAATGCCTTCAGAAAGAAGCATAAAGAGGCTCTGAAGGACTTGTCTTTCCTTTTACCTGTGAGGCTGAATTGTTGATATTCGGCCCCGAACAGGGATACTCTGAACCATCAGGTGGCCTGAACAACTGATTCTCCCCTGCAAATCACAATGGAAACAGAATTAATAGTTGGTTAATAGCTTGTTTCATTTTAAGGTATGCATATTTAACATTTACAGTGTGTTAGGATTTGAGTTTATAAAGCAACTGAACTAAATAGTTGTAGTTTAGTAGTAAATATTACTTTTTCAAAGCAAATGCTATTAGCATGAGGTGGAGTGCAGTCGAGGCGGGGGGTCTCTCAGACTTTTCAAAGCTGTGGTAATGCATTTCACAGTGGTGCTGTGTAAGCTTAAGCAATGTCTGTCCCTGCTTGTTCATTCCTGCCACTGTGTCTCCACAGGTGCTGTCTGCTACTACCTTTGTACTAGCATACTTATTTATGCAGCCACACAGAAACTGAAAAGTGGTTGGGCTGAAATATAATTCAGAAAAAAGGAAAAATTTAAACTGAGAAAAGTTGCCTGATCTACTCTAGTGAACAGCTAAATAAATAGCTAAGCTAGCACATAGGGTAAAGGAGAATGGTATTAGGGGATGAGACTATTTGCAGATCCACATATTTGCATCCTAGATAAAGAATAATTGTGTTTGGTAACACTTGCAAATTTGATGTAACTTTTTGTTTCCCCTTGCTCTATTCTTTCTGCCTGAAATACCACATCTGGCTTGTTACCCCATATCAAAAGGTATCTATCAGCAACAGAGGCAGGGTCAGAAGATAGGGCAGGAGTTATTAATGTGAAAAAAAAGTCCTCAATGATTGTGACTGGGATGTGTGAGAACAGGGGAGTAGTTTCATCATTCTACATTACATGGTTTCCTCTCCTATCCTCTGAAGCATCTCATTTTTGATACAGTCACCATGCAGTGTCAGACTAGGTGGCACAATATGTGTTCCTTTTAACACATATTGGAAAAAGATGAAACAAACATTTTTGTAGAGGAAAATAAAACACCTTACTTGTGGGTTTGCAGCCATAATCGTATAGTTGCCATCATCATCACTAGTAGAAGCTTCAATATGTAAAGAACATGTTCCATCCTCTTCTCTGTTCATTCTGAAATGTGTGTTTTTCTTTGAAATCTGCTTGCCATCCTTGAACCAGTATACCTGTAGTGATCAGACACCCCCCCCGCCCAGTGACTTAACACTTGCTCTGTAGTGGAATAGTGACTAGACAAAACGTAGATAAGAACATGACGTAAGTTGACCAATTGCTAGTAAAAATTTTAGAATATTATGAAGTTTGCAGATCAGTTACAATGTGAATTAGAATGATTCCAGGTGGAACTCAGAAAGCTGCGTATCTCCTTTACATAGCTGGGGCTGTCAGGTTCTCTTTTCTTGGCTCTAGACACATTGCTGGTTATCTCAGATCAATTCTGAGAAATTAATTTTTCAGGGGGTTATGAAGTTCTGTTTCTTTTGGAGTCATGTGGTTGCGAGGCAGTCCATACAGTACATCAAGGCCTGATACATGATCAGGAGCAAATACTGTTATTTTAGAAAGTGGGGGTGGAAATAATTTGTTTTAGAGCTCTCTCCACAGAGCTGTGTTCTTAGAAGTGAGACTTTTCAGAGAGATGTATAGAAAATAGCAGGTAGTTGACTTTTGTTCCTTTACTGCTAACAGGGAGAATGACCTACCTTGGGAACAGGTATTCCAACTATTTTGCAGGTGAATGTAATAGGAGATCCTTCCATTACCCGAAAATGCTTGAGTCTCTTATCAAAGATTGGTGCTATGTATTTGCCTGTAGGGATTTCCTCATGTTGGACTTCATCGTCTGATTCATCCACTGGGGTACGTTCAAGGCGAAATTCTATTTCATTCATCAGCCTCTGCTCAAAGCTTGAAATCCGGTATTCCTGCAGAGTGAGAGAGGCACGGTTCTGAACAAGACGAGTCGTGTTCTGTGGTATTTGCAGTCATTTACACTTTTAGACTAATTCTAAAATGAGTGAAAATAAAAAAGCCTATATAAACTAGGACATATTGAAACAGTCTGGATTTGATCTGCAGGCAGATTCTCACTGCATCTGAAGTTTGCAGAATGTGACTAATGAAAGTGAGTTTTTTCAAAAGCAGCTAAAAAATCAAATGTGTAATTGCTCTAAGTCCATACGAAAAAACTATACTCTTGCACACTGTTGATTGAAAAAGACTATTAATATATACCAAATTTGTAAGGATTTTGTGTTCAAACATTAGTCACCTGCTAATTATAGAAATGAATACTGCTATATATTTCAATTCAGAATTAAATGAGGAAAACTATACCTACTAAAAGAGAAAGATAGGAATTAAGTGAAGTATTTTCAGAGTAATTTGCCTCCAGGTTAAAACTTGACCAGATTTCTAAATAGTGTAACTGAGAAAGCAAAACATACCACATTTAAATCCTTAGAATATCAAACAGGTAATACAAGAAAGCAAGTCTATTCCTACATAAATGACCACTTCCAGATAGTTTGATGTGGTTATGAGCCTCCTCCTAGTCCCGTGAAGTCAATTAGAAACCTGTCTTTACTTAGCTATTTTGAATGAGGTTGTCTCCTGTCTAGACAAAGAAGCATTTGACCAAATGTTTTGTTCTGTGACATGTGAAGCTTCAGACCAACAGCCAGCTTCATTTTTTGACACCAAACCTATGTTTATCTTGTGCGTGGTGGAGCACTACAGATATGCCTGAATGGACTTTTCCAGTAGCAGATGCTGCCTAGCCACACTGACATAGATGGCTGCAAGAATATCTGGCTTAAGTCATTATAAACTATCTTGTGGGGAAACTTGTATTACCATGTGTAGGCCTGTAGCAGAAACTGACTCAGTTTGCTCAGACCTGGATT